GGAAAGAAAAGCAGGGAACTGATTTTCAAAGGCTTTATAAACAGTCTAAGAAATTTAGATTTTTATCTTGAGGACAATGGGCAGCCTTTGAACTATTTTATACAGAGCTGGATACCTTTAGACTTGTGATTTCGAAACATCATTCATTCTGTCAGCATTGGTGGAGAAAGGATTGGAAGGGAGGCAGGCTGGAGGCAGTAGTAACCCTGGGTAGAAGTCATATGTGTGTTGCAGGGTAGGAGGAGGCAGTGTGCCCAAGACTAAGGCAATGGTAATAGCGGTGGACATGGAGAAAGCATTTTTAAATAACTTTTTAAAAATGTACAAATATATTATTATAGAGGATTAGCAAAAATATGGAAAAGGCTAAAAACAGAACTCATATAATCTTTCTATTTACAGGAAAACTCCATCAATAATTTTTTATGTATTTAACATTCTGGGACTTTTCCTATATATATATGTACACTGATTTGGGAGGTGAGCATACATGTGTATCAAGTGTGTGTGTGTGTGTGTGTGTGTGTGTGTGTGTGTGTGCAAACAGATCTATCAGCTTTATAATTTGAATATTCTCTTAATATATCATAAACAACTTTCCACATCATTAAATATTCTTTGGGAACATCAATTTATATGGTTATTTAGTAATCCATAGATGTGCCATAATAGATTTAATTCAAACCTCTAGTATTAGACATCTAAAATGTAATTTTTTTTCTTTCCTTATTTCTTTTTTCTTATGCTATTATAAACAATTCTGGGCTAGACATCCTGGGAGCTAAATTTTTAGAAACTTCACATTTCCTCAGCATAGAGCCCTAGAAGTTGAAAGCTATGTTCCATTTGAAGATTTTTGATTCATATTGACACATTCTTTCCAGAAAGGCTGGATCAAATTACAGCCCCACTAGTAGTGTCTATCAGTAGGAGGAGACCCCTTTCAGAGTGATTTCAAGGATGAAATCAACTGGATTTGGTGGGGAGAGAGGAGGGGTGGATCCTTGGCAGAGTATCAGGGCAGGATCAATGTGAACTCTGTCAAGAGGAGGGAAGCAATGGCCAGGCCTAAGGAACAGCAGGCTGGGTGGATAAAGGTGAAAAAAAAAAAGATAAGGGAAACCACAGGAGAGTGGGAGAAAATGAAAAGAAAAGGAAACCTCTAGTGAAGTTATACACCCAAGTCACTTTAACTTACTACTACATTCTGCAAAAGCAGCAAAGGCAGCAAACAGCTAATCTTCTTATGGTATTTGGTACTCTGTGGGACCAAGGTCCAGAGTTATATTCATGTAAATATGTTGATCCATTCTTCTCACCCAATTACCATTTATTAGGTGTCTACCATGCACTAAGGACTATTCTGGAGGCTTTGGGTGTGGAGATACATAAGAGCTGGTCCCTGCCCTCAAGGAGTTCACAGTCTAAGGAAGAGACAGAACATCCACAGACCAGCACACTATTGTACGGTACAGGATAGAGGAAAGAGGTAAGTGCAGGGTGCTGTGAAAGCCAGGTGCCTACTATTGCTTTCTGTGTGCAAGCACATGCGTGCGTGTGTGTGTGTGTGTGTGTGTGTGTGTGTGGTGAAGGGAGGGGGAGTTACAGGAAAGGCTTCACAGGGGTGCTGATATTTGAGCTGAGTCTTGAAGGAGTTTCTCAGATGGCTAAGGATCACAGATCACACTCATACTCATTGTATAACTCCTTGTATATTGTATCTCTCAAGGATACTCGGTAAGACAGTGAAGATGCTTGTGTATAATCTAAACCCACTCATGACAACAGCCTCCACTGTTACCTTCATGGATATATGTACATAGCCTGATTTAGGCAATATATGCTCATTTTAGCATAAAAGGGATAACAGGCACATGACCTACAGTCTTTTAAAATAGTTCAGATGACACTGATAAATGCATGTCTGCGTGCTTAGTCACTTCAGTCATGTCCGACTCCTTGTGACCTTGTGGACTGTAGCCCACCAGGCTCCTCTGTCCGTGGGATTCTTTGGGCAACATTACTGGAGTGGGTTGCCATTTCCTCCTCCAGGGGATCTTCCTGACCTAGGGATCGAACCCACGTCTCTTATGTCTCCTGCATTGGCAAGTGGGTTCTTTAGCACTAGCACCACCTTGGAAACTGATAAAATAATAATATTCAAACCTACAAAGTCCTACAAATTCTACTTCTTAAATGTCTCTCAACTCTGTTCCCCCCCTCCTGTGTGTTGCTCCCTGGGTCCTCACCGTCTCTCTTTGGAACAGACTGCCAGCCTCCTAACTGGTCACGTCCCCTTCCAGCACATCCTAAAGTGAAAACCTGATCACGACATTCCTCATCTAAAACATTTTAATGTTTTTCTTTTTATTGCCAACAAGCAATATTTCCCAAGTTTCAGTCATTGGAATATTACTTGCTGATTTTCCCATATTCACACACCATGTGTACTATTATTTGCTTATTATTTCTTTTTAAGTCAACTTAAAACTGGTTACTTTCTCTTTTCACTAAGCTGTATCTTAAGTAACCTTAGATTTGATGATGTAATTTGGTTTTATCTTTTTATAAGCCACATCAGAATATATAAAATTTTTAAATGTTTGTGGGAGTACAACATAACTACCAGTGGTAGATGCCCTACATTTTGAGAAACATAGGCCTATGTGAGCACATCCAAACTTCTCATCATTGAGTTCAGAGTTCTTCACAAATCAGCCCTGACCTATCTTTCCAGACTTTCCTACCATCATAGCTTCCTTTCCCCAATCTGCACCCCAGCCAAGATGAATCCCTCAATATTGGACACACCTTTGCTCTTGTAAAAATCCCATATCTTTCACAGACTGCTCCCTCTATCTGCAAGGCCTCCCCTCCACTCTTCCCTGCCTGATAAATTTCTTATCCTTCAAGACCTATCTGACAAGTCACCTCCTCACAGAAGCCTTCTTCCTGACTCTCCCTGACAGTCACACCTTCCTTCATCCTCCGGTAGCACTTTGCCCCTGTCTTTGTTATATTACATACTATATTATCTCAGAATGCCGGGTCTCTATCTCCCCAACTAAACCTAGAGAGAGCTCACATGTCCTACTCTGTTGCATCTCCAATGCTTCATGTGGGGCAAAGGTCACGGAGGAGACCCAGTGCCCCGAAGATCACTTAAAGCCTAAAATATAATAAAAGGCAAAATTCTGTCCAGGCCCAAATAGCTTAGAGGTATGACAAGTTTTATAAAGAGAAGCATCTAAATCAGAGATAGTAATACTGACTACAGTTTTGGCAGACTCAGTTAGCCACACCGCAGTAGCAGTTAAGCTAACTTGGTTTTGGCAGCTACTTTAGAGCAGACACATACTGACATAGAAGCTAAAAGTGAATCATACTCATGTTTTTGCCAAGATGATCGAATGTATCTCACAATAACCTCTCCTTACCACAGATGGAAAGTCAAGAACAAAAGTGAACATTGGGACCAGCAAACCATGATGGACAGACCATGGGCTCTGGAGTCAGAAATCTGAGTTCCAAACCCCAGCTCAACTCCTTACAAATCATGTGACTTTAGGCGGGTTGCTTAAGTTCTTGACATATTAGTTTCTTCTAGAAAAACTGTACCTACATCATAAGACTCTTAATACTATGCAACAAAGTGTCTATGATAGTGCCTGGAACATTATATGGGCTCAATAAATAGCAATCACTATTGTCTGCCCAATGAATTGACTACAATTCAGGTAATATGATGCACAAGGACAGCAAATGCATTTCTTAAGAAAATAAATTTACATCACCAGGCTTTAAAATGACAACTATAGAGTGTGGCTAAGAATAGCCACAAACAAAACAGGTTATAAGACAAAGTTCTTCTTGGTTTTAAATTGAACTCACACCTGGAACATACCACCACACTTCTTTGTGCTCTCCAAGAATTGATCTCAAATCAGGTTCCCCTAGGATGAAAAAACAAAAATCACCCAATCTTAATTTTTTGCTCTCAATTTTATTTGATACAGAATAATATCCAAACTACGAGGATTTTTTAAAGTAGCCTATGATCCCAAGCTTTTCAACACTATTTCTTTCCCAATCTATCCCTGCTGACACATTTTACTTGAGTTCAGGGACGCTCACCTGTTGTATCTACCTCTTCTATCCTTCTCCAATTCCAACCCCAGTATCAGGAAGCAGTTTCTCTCTCCTCTTAGCCCATTTCAAGTCCCCTTTACTCTTTTGGAGCCCAAATTAAAATTCATCTCCTTCCCAAAGCCGACAAGGATTGGTCTGGAAGCAGATGAATTTCAAGCCCTCAGCTCTTCCACCCTTAGGCTAGACTTCCCATTGATCAACCTTCCCACCTCATCAGTATCCCCTTCCACTACCCCCTCAGCACTTTTTGCACGCGTTTTTAATAATAAAATAATACAGTGTCGTTTTGCACAGTCTACTTTACTCCGTAGTTGGTGCGCCCCCTAAATATTTGTCAACATCAACGCTTGCTGGAAAGCCCTAAAGTGCTCGTTTTTTAAAAGAAATGTCTAATTTGCCTTTTATTCTCATCAGAACACTGCACTGAACCTTAAACACCTATTTCTCAAAAGCGAGGTTCCTTCCCTCATCTGCTGCCCATCCCTTCCGAAAATTGAGGTGAAACCCTTTCCGCTACAAAGATCCGGTCAGGCAAGGGGCAAGCGGTTGGAGGGCCAATAAAGAGATGGCGACGATCATGATCTCACCATCAGAGGTAGAAACTGAAAAGTTGACAAAAAGTCACCCAAAGAGTGTGGCAAGGAACTCCCACTCCCCCAAGGGAAAGGGGTGTGCGTGCGTGGGAGAGGTGTGTGCCCAAACCCTAAGTGCAAATTGAAAGAAGAGAGGAAAAAGAGATCGCCCAACTCCTGCAAGCAGTAAGGAGAGCCCAGACGCCGCCTAGGGAAGACCCTGGTGGAGAACCCTAACTTTAGACGTCTGAGGAGGCACAAGGCCGGGGTGGGGGATACGGGATGGCGTTGTGGAGGAAAAAGATAAGAGGGCAGAGTTGAGGGAAAAGAGGAAAGAGGGTACGCTCCCGAGGCTCCAGAGGAACGCGCGCGGAGACCTCCGAAGCCCACCGGGACTCCCGGCCCGAAGCCCCCTCCCGCTCGGAGGCGGAACTGGGTGGAGTCAGGGCTGAGGCCCGCGGACCCGGAAGCACCATCCTCCCTAGGCCCCCTCAGTCCCACAGTCCCCAGCCTCCGCGGCTCAGGCTTTCTGCTTCTCTGACCTCCAGCTCCCCGGCTACCGAAGCGCTACTCCTTATAGAGCCGCGGAAAATCGGGAGGTGCCGCAGCTTCCGGGCAGGCAGTGCCCTTGCGGCGCACGGCGCCGGGCGACAGTCTTCTGAATGCCCCGCCTGGCGCCGCCGGCTTAGGCCCGGCGCCCAGGCCCAGGTTGGACTCTCACCCACTCTGCAGCCGCCGAGGTGTCTCCTATTGGCTACTGGTCACCGGGGGCGCCTCAGGCCCGAGCCCTTGTCCTCATGGGAAATGTAGTTTGAGGTCGTTGGAGGCTGTTCTTCCTAGTGGAGGGGGTGGAATCCAACACTGACATTGGCGGAGAGACTCTAGTGAAGACGGAGGATTGTGGGAGATGAAGTCGAGACCTTTCTTTTTAAGTACCCACAGTTCCTCCCCTCCGCCAGCCCCCTCCCCCGGTTCCTATTGTCCCCAGAGTTTCGGCTTGAGGACAGTGTTCTGGATGTTGTAGTTTGAAATGTGCTCTTACAGAATCTCCCTTCTTGGAGTATGGGGTTGTGCTTGTGGGTCAGCTGAAGGTTCTAGATTGATTTTACTGTTGGTTGAGCTACTGGCATGGGGGGAGGGGGGGAGGCAAACACTTCATCGCAATTTGAAATTCTCATTAAGTTTTGATTCAGTGGGTTTTTGCAAAATGTTATTTATACTCTGATAAGCTAAGAATTTTGACTAGTCCTTTAAAATTGTCAAAATGTGTTCTGTGTGAATCATCATTAGAATCACTTTAAAGTTTCTGGAAATGTATATTTGTTTCTAATTGGGAGCCATAATTTTTTCCTTGTAAATGGTGTCACAACTGGCATAGAAATGTGACTGTGTTATCGAGTCAAAGCTTTCTCTACTACCTGCAGGACGGGCTGATGAATCAGAGATGAGGTGTTGAAGCAAGGAATAAGACTTTATTTGGAAAGTTGGCTGACCAAGAAGATGGCAGAGTAATGTCTCAAATAACAATATTATCTGGGTCTGGATGCCACGTTCTGTTATAGAACAGAAATGGGGGAAGTGAGGAGACAAAAAGGCTTTTAATTTTGCAAATATCTCCTAGAATGGCAAGCCTCAGGCAGGAAATTTGTTAATTTCTTCCTTCCTGCCATCTATAGGGGGACAGGGTTCTGAACAAAGGCACTTCAGTAACAGGCAGAGGGGCAGGATTCTCTGAGACAGGCCATTATGTGTTATTATAATGACAAAAGCAAACAAAATCAAGTCAAAGAAACACTTCCAACATGCAGTCAGAATTGGCTTTTTCCTGCAATAATTGAAGCCAGCCATAAGAAACCTGTTTAACCTATAATGAAGTCACGCTGTGAAGAACAGAGGCCACAGCCATGGGTGTAATGCAACAGTTAAGAGCAGATACACAACTTGAATAATAAAAAATAACTGTGTTTCTTTAAGAAATTATCTTTTTAGTAAAAAAAAAATACACTAAAGGAGGTAGATAAAGGAATACACAGGGAAACCTAAACACTTTCCAAGTGATTGAAAGGTTGGAAAAAATGGTGTACGTCAGTTCAGTTCAGTCACTCAGTCACGTCAGACTCTGCGACCCCATAGACTGCAGCATGCCAGGCCTCCCTGTCCATCACCAACTCCCTGAGTTTACTCAAACTCATGTCCATTGAGTCGGTGATGCCATCCAACCATCTCATCATCTGTCATCCCCTTATCCTCCTGCTTTCCATCTTTTCCAGCATTAGGGTCTTTTCAAATGAGTCAGTTCTTCACATCAGGTGGCCAAAGTATTGGAGTTTCAGCTTCAACATCAGTCCATTCAATGAATATTCAGGACTGGTTTTGAAGAAGGAATTCATAGGGCCTGGACTCGATCTTAGGCCTGTCCGTGCTGATCATGCTCGGCTGCCTCTCCAATGGACTCTGAACTCTCTGCTTAGTGCCTGTGGGAATGACAATGGAAGGATAAGACCCCATCTGGATAGGGGAACCTTGAAGATTGATCGTATCCAGGTTACTCATCGCCTAAGAGAAAACATACTCTGATCACCCCTGCCTCCAGACAGTATCTATCGGAATATAACCACAGGCTTATGGGTTATTAACTGGTTGGAATGTAACCATGGGCTTATTGATTATTAACTGTTTGAACACATAACACATGAATGATGGGGTTATTGTGATTGTATTTACCCTTTGTAAGGAATTTGGGGTGGTGGGTTTGGACACATACACATAGGGTATAAAAGATTTTCACAAATGCTGGTCGGGGTCTTTGGCTAAGAGGAGACTCTGCCTTGGGCCCACCGGTGTAATAAACTGCACTCCACTATCTGCATTGTCCTTCTGAGTGAGTTTGTTTCCCAGAATGCGTGGCTATAACAGTTTCCTTTAGGATGGACTGGTTGGATCTCCTTGCAGTCCAAGGGACTCCCAAGAGTCTTCTCCAACACCACAGTTCAAAAGCATCAATCCTCCAGCACTCAGCTTTCTTTATAGTCCAACTCTCATATCCATACATGACTACTGGAAAACCCATAGCTTTGACTAGATGGACCTTTGTTGGCAAAGTAATGTCTCTGCTTTTTCATATGCTAGGTTGGTCATAACTTTTCTTCCAAGGAGTAAGCGTCTTTTAATTTCATGGCTGCAGTCACCATCTGCAGTGATTTTGGAGCCCCCCCCCAAAAAAAAAATAAATTCTTCAAGAAAATGAAGAATTTTCTTGAAGAATATGTGGAAAATTCTTTAAGAGAGGGGAATACCAGACCACCTGACCTGCCTCTGGAGAAATCTGTATGCAGGTCAGGAAGCAACAGTTAGAACTGGACATGGAACAGACTGGTTTCAAATAGGGAAAGGAGTACATCAAAGCTGTATATTGGCACCCTGCTTATTTAACTTATTTGCAGAGTACATCATGAGAAAATGGTTTATTAGGACTAATTTCACTCCTCACTTTTGACTTCTGCTTTCTTTGTTAAAGATGAATCCTTGTAGCTGAATGGATCATTAGGATTGGGTTACTACAATTTTGCTGATGACTTTTTGACTCACAAATGGAACGAAAGGAAAGAAAGAGGAATTGCATTTTGCTCAGGTACTTGCCTAAAATCTTTTAAAGTGACATGAAGGGAGAAGATGATTTAATAGGTTCAAAAATTTATTCAGCAAACTGCTTTGTGCAAGGCCCTGGACTGGGCCCAATTGCTGCAGAATTGGAAAATAGTCCTTCCTCTGAAGTAGCTCACGATCTAAGAAGGGAGATAGACTATACAATGTACAGAGTGCTCTAAAAGGCTCTATATAGGGTTCTGTAGGACCATAGAAGAGGAAGAACTCATTCCATTTCTGGAGAAAGCAATGCTTGAATGATGAGCCTTGGAGAACTGGTAAGATATTTGTCAGCTTTGGGGCAAGGAGGTCATATTCCATACACAGGTATAAGGATGTGAGAGAGTGCAAAAAGCAACAAAAAATTTCCATACTGCAGGAACTAGATGGGGCAGGAATAGAGGGCCATTCAAATGAGTTCAAAATATAACCTGAAAGCACTAAAGAAACATCAATGGATTTTAAGCAAGGAAATGATATGATCAGTTGGATTTGGTGATAATTTGAATATGAAAAGGGAGGAAAAGGAAGGCATCCATTATGACTCCCAGATTCTGATCTGAAAGAGAACCTACCATTCATTGGGATAGGGACCTCAGAAAGAGTTGCAAGTTTTGTGGGGTATAGGACATTTAGAAATTTGAGGAATCTCTGGAATATTTGTATAGAGATGCCTCATAGGCTATAAGGAAATGTAGATCTGAAGCACAGGAGAGATGTCTGAGTTAGAACTAGACATTTGGGAGACATCAATAATAGATGGTAATTAAATACATAAATATGAATTGAATTTCATGGAGTGCTTAGAACGGTAATTTTTAAAAGGACAAAGATTAAGTATGGAACCCTAGAAAATAACCATATTCAAGTAGTAGGTAGAGGAAAAGGTGCCTTCAAAAGAAGCTGAGAAGGAATGGCCTGATAGTTGAACCAACAGAAAACAAAGTAGAAGCACTCGAATATTGTACAGAGAGGTTAAATAAGAGGACAGAAGAGTAACAAGGAACTATTCATTCATCCATTCAGCAAATATTTATTGAGTACCTACAACATTCCAGGTACAATTCTAGATGTTGGGAATAGAGGAATGGGGGTGGGGGGAAAACCCAGACCATATCCCTTCCCTTTGGAACTTACATTCTAATAGGGGGAAACTATCAGTAAATAAGATTAATAATTAAAATAATTAGCAGTGAAATTCCCTGGCGGTCCAGTAATTAAGACTCTGCACTTCCGCACTCTCATTGCTGGGGCCCCAGGTACAATCCCTGGTCAGGGAACTAAGATCCTACAAGCTAAATGGAGCAGCCAAAAAAAAAAAAAAGTAGTGACAGTTAATATTTCTACAATGCTAATTGTAATGTGTGTGTATGTGTGTTTACACATACAAAGGTGGGACTCTTCTTGATCTATTGTTCATAGAAAGTATGCTTGAAAATGTACCCAGGAAAAAACGCTTGGGTATAAGAAGACGGTAAAGAATCCGCCTGCAATGCAGGAGACCTGAGTTTGATCCTTGGATGGGAGATCCCCTGGAGATGGGAATGGCAATCCACTCCACTATTCTTGCCTGAATTCCATGGACAGAGGAGCCTGGTGGGTTACAGTCCATAGGGTCTCAAAGAGTCGGACACAATTGAGTGACTAACATACACACACAGGAGAAGATGAATTTGTGAAATAGTGACACTTTGTAAATCAGTCTGGCTGGATTTATAGATCAATTGGTAGGCCAAGGCTAAGGCCAAAGAACCAGTGTACAGTTGAAGTCATGGCCAGGGTTCAGGTTTATAACGTGGAATGTGTTTGGCTTCAGTCTTCAGCTTAGGTG